GCATCATCATCCTCATCATCATCATCATCATCAGCATCATCAGCATCATCAGCATCATCATCATCATCAGCATCAGCATCATCATCAGCATCATCATCATCAGCATCATCATCATCATAGTCATCATCATCATCATCATCATCAGCATCATCATCATCAACAACAACAACATCATATTCCTCCTCCTCCTCCTCCTCCTCCTCCGCCGCCGCCGCCTCCTCCCCCTCCTCGCCCCTTCGCGCTTCTCCCGGCCAGGCTCCTCCTCCTCGCCCTCCTCCTCCTCGCCGTCCTCTTCGTCCTACTCCTCCTCGGCGCGAAGGGGGCCGCTGCCCTTCGCGCCGAGGGCGAGGAGGACGGCGAGCGGCGAGGGCGAGGACGACGACGACGACGACGACGAAGACGGCGACGACGACGACGACGGGCGAGAAAGGGGAGAAGCAGGAGCGGCAGCGAGAGAATGAAGAGGAGGAGGAGGAGGAGGACGACGACGACAGCGGCGGCGATGACGAGGGGCAGAAGGGCAAGAGTAATAATAACGCATGGAGCCCTGCCGACGGCACCTCGTGACTGGGATTGACTTCCTGGGGAAACCAGCCAGAGAGTCAAGAAATCTGAGGCGGATCGCTTCGCACAAACCAGAGCGCTCCGCAAAGCGGCACTGGCCGTCCTGCACCCCCTGAGGCACGCAGCCAGGTCGTGGGCAGGCTCCAAGGGCACGAGGCGTCACTCGGCGCCGCCACCCCCACCCCCACCACCCCGCCTTCCTCGACCCTTCCCCTTGCCTTTGGAACCTGCTTTCAGAAGGAGAAAGAGGAAGAGGAGGAGGAGGAGGAGGAGACGGAAGAGAAGGAGGAGGAGGACGAGGAGGAGGAGCAGGAGGAGGAGAGAAGGAGAAGAAGGAGGAGGACGAGGAGGAGGAGGAGGAGAAGGGCGACAACGACAAGGGGGAGGAAGAGGAGGGGGAGGAAGGCTCGAGGCTCTTGAGCTCCCTCTGATCCCCTTCTGTTCCTGCAGGTCCCGAGGGTGCTGCGAGGAGGGAAGAGGGGGGGGGGTTGGCTAAGGGTGCTTGTGCTGCCTGGGTGCCCCCCACCCCCCACCCCTCCACTTGTTCGAGGGGGAGACAATAGTCAACCCGTATAGCAAGAGCGCACGGTAAGGATGCAAGGGCCGTGGAAGGCCATGTCGACACTTTGCGAGTGGGGAGCGGCCAGCGGAAGCGACCAAGGATGCGCCGAAGGGGAAGGATGCAAGGGTAACCTTGGAAAGTTGTTCATCCTTGCTGTGCAGGTTGCCTGTATAGGGGGGGCGCGCTGCTCAGGGGGGGGGAAGCATCGACCTGGAATCGGCGATGCATCGCCGATAGATCGGCGATGGGCCCCCGATAACGAAACCGCACGCTCCTGAGCAGGGTGGGCTCCCGCACCCTGTCGGCGATCAGTCAAGGACTGCGGGCGGATGCCACTCCCTCCTGAGCCTATTCCCCCCGAACGTTGCCCCTGACTTGTTCTTGACTCGACTCCTCGAGATTAGGGTTTGGTTGTGGCGGTGGTAGCATCGCATGTGAGGGGTTCCCCTCGACGCCCAAGGTTCGACCACCTTCGCAAACGTGTGTCGGCACATATCAGATTCACAAAATCAAATAAAAATTATACGGGGCAGGAGGAAAGGAGAAGCCAGGGCGCAGAATCAGATCACGAAGAATTCAGTACATGTCGTTATGCCACAGCACGGCGTTCATCCATTAATTCTCGCCGGTGCGATTCCCAGTCCAATTTGTTCAGTGCGGCTTCTTGCCAGTCGAGCCCAATCGCCCGGAAGTATTTGCTGAAAAGGTACTCCCACGTCCAGGGCGGGGTTCGGCCTTGGTGTCCTTGGTGCCGGAGAATCTCTTGTGTGCTCCGTCGCCAATTCTCTTCCCTGAAGCGCATCTCATCCCTGAAACACATAAAAACCATTAGGGTCGGTTAGCTATGAATTGAAGTCGACAGTACCCGACCAACCGACCGAGAGGGAGGGGCGGGGGAGAAAGGCGGCTGAGAGAGGGAGGAGGAGGCGGACGAGGGGGAGTCCAGACGGGAAGGAGAAGCGGCTATTGACGGACCCCCCTTTGGCAAAACACCCTTCAGTGAAAGCTACCAAGGCCACTCCACGGATACACGCGTCGTCACACTCTGAGCGAACCTGAGCGGAGTAGCTAATCGCCGTCCACAAACAACCGAATGTATCCTGCAAGTCGCACGTCGATTAGCGAAGCCGATGGGGACTGCACCGGTACCCACAACACTGCGGATACCAATGTCGAGTAAACTGGTACGGAATTCCTCGATCGACTTGCCTGAGTGGTCGTTCTCGCGATAACCGAGAGACGGAGGATGAGGAGGAATATGAGGGTAATAGCTCTTCCAGCGCAAATACCAAACCAGCATCTGTCATGGAAGAGTCGCCGAAGTCCGCTCGACTTTGGAATTTCGTAGCCACAGCAGCCAGCACGAACGCGTCGGAGTAAAATCGCTGGCCGAAAAGACGGGACGAGGAGGACGACGACGACAGGGAGCACGGGCGACTGTGCTGTGCAGACAATCCCGTCCCCTAGCTGGCCACTTGTAACTCTAAGCGCGCAGCGGCTGCCACGAAGGGAAACCAGAGAAATAAGACGACTCCAAAAATAATTCACTGCGTGGAGCTCCCCCATGTGCATCTATTAGCATGGACCTGTCCGCCGTGAGCGTCTAGGCGCAAGAGCTTTCGAATAGAAACGGCCTTGAGTATGGGCGGTCTGGGAGTGAATCTAACTGTGAACGATCTGGAGCGTGAATGAGTCTCGGTAGTACTAGTGCGTCTCTGCGCATGAGCCTGGAGCCTCCTGGGAGCTCTTGAAGCCTCCTGGGTCTTCCTGGGGCCTCCTGGAGCCTCTTGGGGCCTCTTGGGGCTTCCTGTGGCCTCCTGAGGCCTCCTGGGGCCTCGTGTGGCCTCCTCGGGACGCCAGGAACCTCCTGGAGCCTCCTGGGGCCTCCTGGGGAGGATTCGTGCCGCAGGAGAGACCCAATCTACAGGAGCATACGTAAAACAATTCGGATTAGAGCCATAGGAGAGGGGCAATCTATAGGAACGCACGAAAAACAACAAGGGCTCGTGCCCTAGGGGAGGCCCAATCTATAGGAAAATGCGTAAAACACTTAGGAGTGAATACACAGGAGAAGGACAATCTATAGAAACAGACATGAAACACAAAGGATTCGTGCCCCAGACATACGTGAAAACACCGGGGATTGGAGCCACTCCTGTGGCCTTCTGAGGCCTCCTGCTCCTGAGGCCTCGTGGGGGCTCCTGGGGCCTTCCGGGCCTCTTGGTGCCTCATGGCGCTTCCTGTGGCCTCGCGTGGCCTCCTGTGGCCTCCTGTGGCCTCCTGGTGCTTCCTGGGGCCTCCTGGAGCCTCTTGGGGCCTCCCAGGGCCTCCTGTGGCCTCCTAGGGCCTCGTGTGGCCTCCTGTGGTTTCCTGATGCCTCCTGGGACCTCCTGTAGCTTCCTGGGGCTGCTTGGAGCCTGCTGGAGCCTCCTATGGCATCCTGAGGAAGATCCGTGCACACAAGTCTGGCCAGCAAAATAAGCCAATCGCTCGAGACATCCTCAAGATCTGGCCCCCTCTGGGGTGCGAAAACCAACACCTCGCTCGAGACATCCTCAAAGTCTGCTTGGGAAGTGGAGGATGTTGGGCGCCGAAACAGGCAAACCGCTCGAGACGTCTCTCCCAGTTTTGCACAAACGGAGGAGTGCAATACCCCCTGGCGGCTCCCCCTTGGGGGCGCCTCGCTCGAGACATCCTCAAAATCTGCTCCGAAAGCAGAGGATGCTGGGCACCAAAACAAGCATTCCGCTTGAGACATCCCCGCCATTTTGGCGCGAATGGAGGAGTGCAATACCCCCTGGCGGCCCCCCCTTGGAGGTGCTGAAAATCAGCGCCTCGCTCGAGACACCCTCAGAAGTTGATCCGCCGTCGTCATATTCATCATCAGCATCATTATCAGCAGTAGCAGCTGCATCATAAGCATCAGTACAATCAAATTCAGCAGCATCATCACCAGAATCATCATCAGCATCACCATCATCAACATCATCATCATCATCATCAGCAGCAGCAGCAGCATCATCACCATCACCATCAGCATCACCATTAAAATAACATCACATGGCATAACCTAACGTAACAACACATAGCATGACATATCAGAATATATCATGGCGTAGCATAACATGTCATGTTCTGGTAGACCGTAGCATACAATTCCATGCCATACTAAAACAGAGCATCCGATAGCACAATATAGCATATCAAAACAGAGCACGTCAGACCATAACATGGCATCTGAGTGCGACTCTGGGTGAGGAAGAGGAGGAGGAGGAGGAGGAGGAGGAGGAGGAGGAGGAGGGAAGTGAGTGGGCGGAGTGGGCGGTTCCGCCTCGGCGCGGTCGGAGTAATAATTATTCAGTGCGTAGAGCTTCCCCATGTGTGCATAGATTAGTATGGACCTGTCCGCCGTGAATGTCTAGGCGCAGAGTTTTCGCATATCAACGGGCTTGAGTATTGGCGGTCTGGGAGTGAATCTAACTGTAAACGATCTGGAGCGTGAATGAATCTCAATACTACTAGTGCGTCTCTGCGCGTGAGCCTGAGGCCTCCTGGGACCTCTTGAAGCCTCCTGGGTCTTCCTGGGGCCTCCTGGAGCCTCTTGAGGCCTCCTGGGTCTTCCTGGTGACTCCTGAAGCCTCCTGGGGCCTCGTGTGGCCTCCTGCGGCCTCCAGGAGCCTCCTGGAGCCTCCTGGGGCCTCCTGGGGAGGATTCGTGCCCCAGGAGAGGCCCAATATGTAGGAGCAGACGTAAAATAATTCGGATTGGAACCACAGGAGAGGGGCAATCTATAAGAACACATGTAAAACACCAAGGGCTCGTGCCCCAGGGGAGGCCCAATCTATAGGAACATGCGTAAAACACTTAGGAGTGGATACACAGGAGAAGGACAATCTATAGAAACAGACGTAAAACACCAAGGGGCTCGTACTCCAGATGAGGCCCATACCTGAACATGCGCAAAACACCAGGGATTGGAGCCACTCCTGTGGCCTTCTGAGGCCTCCTGCTCCTGAGGCCTCGTGGGGCTCCTTGGGCCTTCCGGGCCTCTTGGTGCCTCATGGCGCTTCCTGTGGCCTCGCGTAGCCTCCTGTGGCCTCCTGTGGCCTCCTGGTGCTTCCTGGGGCCTCCTGGAGCCTCTTGGGGCCTCCCAGGGCCTCCTGTGGCCTCCTAGGGCCTCCTGTGGCCTCCTGTGGCCTCCTGATGCCTCCTGGGACCTCCTGTAGCTTCCTGGGACCGCTTGGAGCCTGCTGGAGCCTGCTATAGCATCCTGAGGAAGATCCGTGCCCACGAGTCTGGCCAGCAAAATAAGCAAATCGCTCGAGACATCCTCAAGATCTGGCCCCTCTGGGGTGCGAAAACCAACGCCTGGCTCGAGACATCCTCAAAATCTGCTTGGAAAGTGGAGGGTGTTGGGCACCGAGACAAGCACCCCACTCGAAACATCCCGGCAATTTGTCGCGAACGGAGGAGTGCAATACCCCCTGGCGGCTCCCCATTGGGTGCGAAAACCAACAAAGCCTCGCTCGAGACATCCTCAAAAGCTACTCCGAAAGCGGAGGATGTTGCGCACCAAAACAGGCACCCCACTCGACATCATCATCATCATCATCATCATCATCATCATCATCATCATCATCATCATCATCATCATCATCATCATCATCATCATCATCATCACCACGACCACCATCATCATCATCATCATCATCATCATCATCATCATCATCATCATCATCATCATCATCATAATCATCATCATCAGCATCATCATCATCATCATCATCATCATCATCATCATCAGTATCATCATCATAATCATCATCATCATCATCATCACCATCACCATCACCATCACCATCACCATCACCATCATCATCATCATCATCATCATCATCATCAGTATCATCATCATCATCATCATCACCATCACCATCACCATCATCATCACCAACATCATCATCACCAGCAGCAGCATCGTCGTCATCATCATCCTAATCATAACCAGCCTCATCATCATCAGCATCATCATCACCATCATCATCACCGTCATCATCATAGCATTATTCACTGCGTGGAGCTACCCATATGTGCATATATTTGCGTGGACTGGATGTGAGTGAGTCTGAGTATGAGTATGATGGGTACGAGTCTGAGCACAAGTGAGTCTGGGACATCCTCGCAATCTGCCCCCCCCCTGGGGTGCGAAAGCCAGTGAGTCTGAGAATGAGTATAGTGAGTACGACTGTAAGCCTGAATGGGTCTGAGAACGAGCGAGTTTGACTACTAGTGAATAGGAGGGTGGGTGGGTCTGAGTGTGAGATATTCTGAGCGTGAGTAAATCTGAATGTGAATGCGCCTGAGTATAAGTATGATGGATCTGAAACTGGCCCTGAATGGATCTGGGCACGAGTGAGTCTGACCACGAATGAGTCTGAGGGTGGGTGGGTCTAAATGTGAGTGAGTCTGAGTGCGCGTACGTCTGAGTGTGAGTGAGTCTGGGTATGAGAATGATGAGTGCGAGTCTGAGTATGAGCGAGCCTGAGCACGAGTGAGTTTGAGAATAAGTGAGTCTAGGACATCCTCGCAATCTGGGCCCTCTGGGAGTGCGGAAATCAGCGCCTCGCCATAGACATCCTCAGAATCTGTTTTGACAGCAGATGAGTCTGACCACAAAAACACGCAAACCGCTTGAGGCATCGTCGAAATCTGGCCCATCGGGGGTGCGAAAACCAGCGCCTCGCCTGAGACATCCTCAGAATCTGCTCCGAAAGAGGAGGATGATGATGACCGAAATAGGCAAACCGCCTGAGACATCCCCACCATTTGGGCGCGGAGGCCGTGCAATACCCCTGGCGCCCCCCCTTACAAGTGTTAAAACCAGCAAGCCGCCTGAGACATCCTCAGAATCTGCTCCGAAAGCGGAGGAATGTTGAGGACCAAAACAGACAAACCGCCTGAGACATCCCCACCATTTGGGCGCGAACGGAGGCCGTGCAATACCCCTGGCGGCCCCCCCTGAAGAGTGCTAAAACCAACAGACCGCTCGAGGCATCCTCATCATTTGATCATCGTCATCATCATCATCATCATCATCATCATCATCATCACCATCATCATCATACTCATCCATCATTTACCATCACCCGCATAATCATCATCATACTGTCACCATACCACGGTCATCATCATGACAATCATCATCATCATGGTCGAATGCAGAAAATTACCCTGCGACGTACCCAACCCGATGGCATCACATGGCAAGATGAGTAGGGAAACATTAGCAGGAACCGTGGCAGTGCAGGCGCGGCGATTTGTAGTGCGACCTACATAGGATGCGTAATGTTGCACGACTCACAGAACAGCAATCGATAAGACGAGGAGTAGGTCTCAAGGCTCGTTAAACAATAGCGGGGGCGGGGACGAGGGACAGGAGAAGCACGAACCCAGTAGGAAGGGGCGAGGAGCCATCGCAGCAGCAGCAGCATGAATGCAGAAGGTGACAGGAGGACTAGGACGGCGATGATG